CGCTCAGCCCGTGCCCCCGCAGGCGGCGCCGAGGCGGCGGCGGCCGCGCCGGGCAGGAGCGCCGGCCCCGGCGGGCGCCACCGCAGGGTCTGCTCGGACGAGGGCGGGAAGCTCTCGCCCTTCCTGCCGCCCGAGCTCTTCCAGAAGCTGCAGCTCGCTGAGGCGCGCGGCGCCAGGAGGTGGGTGGCACCGGAGCCCGGTGGCACCGGCAGGTGGGTGGCACCGGAGCCCGGTGGCACCGGCAGGTGGGTGGCACCGGAGCCCGGTGGCACCGGCAGGTGGGTGGCAGCGGCGCCGCGCGGCCCGCGCGCTCAGGGCTGCGCCCGCAGGGAGCTCTCGCCGCTCGAGGAGGCCTCTCTGCAGAACCAGAAGCTGAAGGCGGCCTACGAGGCGCGGCTGGCGCGGCTGCACCCGCGGCAGGCGCTGCAGAAGACCTCGCTGGCAAGTGGGGTGCCGGGCGCCCGCTCTGCAGCCCCCCGGGACCCCCACACCAACCCCAGCCCGCCGCCCGGGAAGGGACGGGCTCCTGCAGGGGCAGGGTGGGAGCACCGGGATCATGGATCTGAATGGGCAGCAGGGTCCTGCTGGGCGCTGGCGGCCCCCGTGCCTGGTCCCCCCCCGCCCGGTCCCCCTGCCCAGTCCCCGCTCCTGCCCTGGCGCGAGGCCCCGCGGTCTCGGCCGGTGTCACCAACGTGCCCTGCGCTCCGCAGACGCTGTCCCTGCAGCGGCAGATGATGGAGAACCTGGTGATAGCCAAGGCGCGGGAGGAGACCGTATCCTTGCCGTGGGCACGGGGCCGCGTGGCTCTGCTCCGCAGGGAGCATCCGTGGGGCGGACGTGGGGCCGGGCCGGGGCTGCGCGGGGGTAGCCGGAGCCTTGACCGCCTGGCCCAGCTGCAGCGCAAGGTGGAGGAGCGGAGGCTGCGGCTGCAGGAGGCCGCCAACAGGTGAGCGGGGCCGGGCCCGGCTGTCCCTGCGCCGCGGGGTGTCCCTGCACCCCAGGGTGCCCCCGCGCTGGCGGGTGYGGTGCCGGGGGCCCCACGGGCGCCGCTCCGCAGGAGGTTCTGCGGCAGCGCGGCCCTCACCCCCGAGGAGCAGGAGCAGAGAGCCCTCTACGCCGCCGTGCTCGAGTACGAGCAGGACCACGTGAGTGGCGCTGCTGGGGACGGGACGCGGTGGCAGCGGGTGGCGGGGACAGGGCGCGGAGCCGCCGCCGACCCCGCCGGGGTCCCGCAGGACTGGCCGCGGCAGTGGAAGGCCAAGCTGAAGAGGAGCCCCGCGGATCCCGCCGTGGTGGCCGGGCTCTTCTCCTGCCTCCTCAGGTAGCGCCCAGCACGGAGCGAGGGAAGGAGAGAGGGAGAGGGGAGGGATGGGGGGAAAGAGGGAGGGATGGGGGGGATTGATGCAGGGAAGGATGGAGGGGATGGTTTTATGGAGGGATAGAGTGAGGGATGGAAAGAGGAATGGAGGGATGGATTCAGGGAAGGATGGAGGGATGGAGGAGAAAGATGAAGAAGGGAGGGGGGAGGGATAGAGGGATGGATGCAGGGAGGAATAGAGAGAGGGATGGAAGGAGGGCTGGAGGTTTGGATGCAGGAGCCTGGATGCAGGGAGGGTGGAGGGCTGGATGCAGGGGGCTGGATGCAGGGGGCTGGAGGGCTGGATGCAGAGGGGCTGGATGCAGGGGGGCTGGA